TTTTTTTTTTTTTTTTTTTTTTTTTTTTTTTTTTTTTTTTTTTTAATTCATTCTGGCCAACTTCTCTCTTCCAGAAACTTGCAAGTTGTTTCAGAAAAGAGTGTCCAGCCTGTCCAGCCTCCAGAGGAGACACTGAGAAGGGGACCCCATCCATGTCTGTCAGTGTGTGCAGGGAGGGGGCAGAGGATGGACCAGGCTCTGCTGGGGGGGCCCAGCAATGGCACGAGAGGAACGAGAGGAACTGATGCCCAGGAAGCTCCAGCTGGACAGGAGGAAGAACTTCTTTGCTGGGCAATGACCCAGCTCTGAACAGAGAGCAGAGAAGGTGTGGAGTCTCCTCACTGGGGATATTCCAGAACCATCTGGACACAATCCTGAGCCTCATGCTGTGGGATGACCCTGCTGGACCAGATAACCCACTGTGGTCCCTTCCAACCTGATCCACTCCGTGATTCTGTGAAAAATAAACTCCGATAGTTTTCCACTTGAATTCTCTCCTGAAATGCTCATTTACTGTGTCCTGAGCTCAAAGAAATGTCTATTTCTATTTCCTGTTCCAACCACACGAGCTTGGAACCCTAATTCTATAAATGGGAGTACTTCAACTCCACTTTTGAGAGGCAGATGAGGAAAGAATTAGGAAGTTGTTCACCAGAAGCAAAGCCACGTGACTCTTTGGGGCAAACAGCTGTATTTCAAGGTATTCCTCTTCCCCTTCTCTGGGCTGTCGTGTCAGAACCACCTTTCCTTCCTCCCTTCCTCTGGGTCTGCTCCCTCTCTCCATGAGCCAGGACTGCCCTGTGACCTCCCCTAAAGGTGTTTTTTCCTTTCAAGCCCCACCCATATCTGATGCAGATACATCCTCCTCTGTGAGGAGGCAGGAAAACCAGAGCTGATCCTCCAGAGTGTTTGCAGGCTCTCCACCTCCTCCAACGGATGTCATTTTGCCCTGGTTCAGAAGCAGCCACACCAGCCTCTTCCCTTGTAACAGAATATCGGTGTCTTTGTTACTTTTCTAAGGAGTAGCTTTACTTGACCTGAGTAGGGGTCTCCTGAGGACTTGATATGGTTTATGAGTCATTTACTGCAGAACTTTGCTACAAAGTCTTTCAAGTAGTCCAGGACATGGTGAGAGCGATTACAGGAAATCTCCCCGGGCACTCAAATCCTCCGTGACTTTACAGTCAGTTCAACTCGGGAACAAAGTTCCCAGGACTCTATTCTGGCTCCCATTTAGAAACACACGGGCCCTTTCTGGAAAAATCTGGTTGGTTATTGCGTTTCAAACCCCTATTCCGAACAAAATACTTGCTGAATCTTTGCAACATATTAATGTCCAGTAGCTGCAACAAAAGCTACTAAGTCCCCTTTCCAGAGGTTGGTCTTTGTTGTGTTGTTTTCCAGGCTGTAAATACAAAAGGGGAACCTGTACCATGTTTTAAGAGGCAAAGCTTCCAGCAGAAGCCTTATTTGTGATTTTTATTTAAGATGTACAAATTGAGTGCAATCTCAAAATCGTGATTTTGTGTGTGTGTTTACCTGTACTAAAGGGGTATTTTTTCAGGTCGAGATTTCATCCACAGTTGTGTTACTGTTGGCTGGCAAGATCTGACTCTCTCAACACCCTCAGCAGAGTAAAACGGGATCCTTGTGGAACACAAACCCGTGTTATCCCCGCCTACACTCCTGCGCTTCTCCTCACGGCTGCGTCCTGAACTTGTACGAACGGCTTCTAAAATCATCGGGATTTGCCATTCCAGGTGGCTCGGGCAACCCTCGGACACGCCAAATCACCAAACCCGCCGGCACTGCCCGGAGCTCACGGGACGGGGCCGGGGAACCCGGGGGCAGAGCCGGGCCGGGCCGGGCTGGGCTGGGCAGGGCCGGTCGGTGCCGCTCCTCCCGGTCCCGCCGCCACCCCATTCCGCCGGTGCCCGTCCGGTCCGGTCTGTTCTGTGCCAGTCAGTCCAGTCCGGTCCGGTCTGTTCGGTGCCAGTCAGTCCAGTCCGGTGCGGTCCGGTCCGGTCTGTTCGGTGCCAGTCAGTCCAGTCCGGTCCGGTCTGTTCGGTGCCAGTCAGTCCAGTCCAGTCCGGTGCGGTCCGGTCCGGTCTGTTCGGTGCCAGTCAGTCCAGTCCGGTGCGGTCCGGTCCGGTCTGTTCGGTGCCAGTCAGTCCAGTCCGGTCCGGTCTGTTCGGTGCCAGTCAGTCCAGTCCGGTCCAGTCCGGTCCGGTCTGTTCGGTGCCAGTCAGTCAGTCCAGTCCAGTCCGGTCCAGTCCAGTCCAGTCCGGTCCGGTCGGTGCCGCCGCTCCGTCCGTGCCTCTCCCGCTCGGCCGCAATGGCCGCCCCTCCCCTCCCGGCTGTGCGCGGCCCGGCCCCGCCCGGCGCTCTCGCGAGAAGTGCGCGGTCCCGGCATGCCCGCGGCGGGCCGGGCGGGGGGGCGGGCGAGGCGAAGGCGGCCATGTTGGGAGCCGCGGGGCGCGGGCCGTGCTGAGGCTCCGGCGGGGTCGCGCTGGGCGCTGTGCTGCGCGGGGAGCGGCGCTCGGGACCGGGGGAACAGCGCCTGCCGCGCCTCTGCGCCACGCTCGCTGGGCGGCCGGGGCCCGGCTGGAGGAGCGCTTGGCTGGGGAGGGAGGAGGAGGAGGAGGAGGAGGGGTGTCCCTGACCGAGGAGCAGCGCCATGAGCGGGGGGACGCCCTACATCGGGAGCAAGATCAGCCTCATCTCCAAGGCCGAGATCCGCTATGAGGGGATCCTGTACACCATCGACACCGAGAACTCCACGGTGGCGCTGGCCAAGGGTAAGGCCGCGGGCGGGAGGGGAGCGGGCGGGACCGGGGGCGGCCGGGGCGGAGGGGCTGCTCGGAGCCCTCCTCGTCCCGCCGGGGCGGCTGCGGCGGAGAGGAGCGAGGGGCTGGGGAAGAACGGCGGCCCCGCTCCTACCGGGGC